GGAGGGAGAAGTATGAAAGGAACGGGGAGAGGAAGGGGCTGGAAGGGGAACGGAAAGGAAAGGAAAGAAAAGGGGGGGAAAGGGGAAGAAAGAATCTCTTCAACCACAGGACAAGGTGGTGCTGCGCAACTGGCAAGCCAGGAGGTCGGAGCAGGACGTCACTCTGCACCTGTCCTGTGATTCACAGCACACGTTAAAAACCAGGATCCTCATCACCAGCAGGTGATCTAATTAATCAGGGATTCCTTTTTCCACTGAGCTCAGGCGCTATCTCCAGCCACAGTTGGAGCGTATCATCTTCAGCCTACAAATGATTTGGGGAACGCTAAACTGGTAAGAAATTAAAATCCTTCTGTCAATCACTTGCAGTCATGCATTCAGCAGGACCACTGTGCACACGGCCCGTCAGCGGGGGGCATTGTGCACACGTCACCTCTCGGCTACTCACTCCTGATTTTCTTCTGCCACTTCATCTCGCTGTAGAGGTCTTCGGTTTGCTGGAAAAAGTCGTTCACTTTGCTTCCTTGCTCATCACGCTCTGTTGTGTTGAACACGCGGCACTTAGACTCCCGAGTGAGGAACTCACAGATATTGGGGACAGGAAAAACGATTTGCTCCATAGTTCTGTCGTGCCGGACAATCTGGAAACATCAATTCACACTCGCTTTTAGCCCTCTGCTCACCTCAGTCTGCGTTTTGTATCTTCCTTTTCTAAAGACTAAATTTTGCTTTTAGACAATTTCAGACACGTGTATAATGTATTCCTGTTCTGCCGGCACCCTGTCTTTTCCTTCCCACCCTGGTAGCCCCTGTTCTTCCTGACAAATCTCCCATATTCATTACTCTGTTTTATTTTGTGTCCCACAGAGTTTAACTAGGGCTGCCTGAGTAAGCCCAATACAGCCTGGTGGGTCCACCAGTGGGTTTACAACTGGATACTTTCCCTCTCTAGTTTTGGTTTTTAGCAAGTGTCCTGGTTACTTGGCTTTGTCAACTTGACAGCCTAGAGTCGCTTTAGAGGAATGCCTCTATGGAGGAATTACCTAGATCAGATTGGCCTGTGGGCGGGGATTGCCTTGGTTAGCTGATACAGGAGGGTCCAGCCCACTGTGGGTGGTCCCATCCCTAGGTTCCTCCATGGCTTCTGCTTTCCTGCCTTAGCTTCCTTCAGGTATGGTCTGTGACCTGAAGTGTCAGCCAGATAAGCCCTTGCCCTCCCAAGTTGCTTCTGGTCAGTGTTTTATCACAGCAGCAAAGTAAGAAAAGGAGTTCACAAATGACAGTTGATTAATCCAGCTCTGAAAAAGCAAGCCGGCTAAAATACCTAAGATAGTGGTGATCAACTTCATTGACTGGCATTTTTCTCTTTAAATAAGACAACTTAATTGATGCTAAACACCATATTTTGTTATAAATAAGTTCAAGTCTTCCATTCTTTCCGGGTTACTGTTAAACTTCTATAAGCCTTTTTTATTTTCATGAAGCTATTCAGAGGCCTGAGCCAACTGGAATCAGCATGTGACTGACTGGGTGGCCTTGAACTTAAGACATTCATGTCCTGTCCCCAGCCTGTTCTTCCTAAGAGAGGTGTGCTGGGGAATAAGCAATGTAGTCAGCATTGTGTATACTGAGTTCTAGATACACAGAGAGGTGTTTTCTATCATTAAAATGTTCTGACTCATAGCAAAACAGATTTTTGTAGGTACAACAGCCATTTAAGTATATACCCATATGCAAATATTCATTATTTTGAACCTCTTTATTTGATATTTGTGACCATTTAACTTTAGACCTTCCCCCTGCCCAGAAGGGTGAATATTTTCATTCATCTTCCCTATGAACAAAGATTGCATAGCCTCAACCTCAAGGTTCATTTCAAGTCATTAGAAACTAGTAAGAATCAGTCTAACCCAATTAATTTTATTTCCCTTTGTGACTGACTGTCCTAGGTGGGCATATGTTGGAGATGATTTCCAGGGAGAACAGAACCTATTAAAGACAGAGCCTCATGACAAGCAAAACAATGCCAGCACCCCTAAATAACGATCAAACTTTCTTTCCCATACCTGGTTCTTCCAGCCTATTATAAATGGTGGTGTGGGATGAGGTGCACTGTAGCCCTGACAACCTTTTTGCAATAATGAAGTGAGAAATCACTAGCATGATAAGAAACCTGGCGGGAAGGTGGGGAAGCCTCACATCGAATCAGTGACAGAAATACTGGGTCCTCCAGCGAACTCATAGACTCAGAATACTTTTATTATTTAAATAATCGTCAGTCTGGTATTGTGCTAAACTTGTAACTGAAGGTATCTTAAATGCTATTCTAGGCCTTCAAGCTACTTTCTGGAATATTCTCCTAAAGTAAACAAGATGAACTTCAATCGTGGTAAAAAAAATTCTTCTCATAAGTTAAAAAACCAATCATACTTGGAACAAAATATAATGACATGTGCATGAAAACGCCATAAGGGCTGGTGAGGTGGCTCAGCAGTAAAGGCCTGCAGACCTGAGTTCCATACCTGGAACCCACACAGATGTCCTCTGACCTCCACACAGATGCCATGGCAACCCCCCCCCCACACCATTAACAGTAAATAGAAATTTTAAAAAATAATTAAAAATTGAAAACATCATAATGAAACCCAAATACTTTATGTGCTAACTTAAAAATGAATTAAAACATCACGTGCACAAACTATTTAAACATATTTTGTATGGCACGCAACCACATGAAAAATCTAAAAAT